CTGATAGTAGTATATCAGCTATTCTATCACAAGCAACCTTTGTGGGTAAGACCCTAATTGTATCTGTTTTTTTTTTTTCCTAAGAGCACAGACATAGCATCATATCAATGTATCAATGGCACCCTCTTTTTAAATGATCCTCTGAAAATACTTAAGACATATATTTATCCCTCAGTATCAATGAGGAATTGGTTCCAGGATAGCTGCCCTTTCCTTTGAAGTATCACAGTTCTCACATGCTCAAATCCCTTATGTAAAATGACATGCTATTTGTATATAATCTATAAATATCATCTTAATTTAAATAATTTCTAAATGCCATGTAAAATAGTTGTTATGTTTGCTATTTAGGGAATTATGACAAGAAAAAAAATCCCTGTACATATTTGGTACAGGTGCAGTTTTTAAAAATATTTTTGACCTGCTGTTGCAAAAGCCATGGAAACAGAACCTCCAGAAATGAACAACAGACTACAAAAATTCTCAAAAAGGCAACTCATAAGAAAAGGAGGGACCCTTGCTGCACATGTAACACAATGCCTTAGATGTCTTAATTATTTGGTAATCTGACAGCTGCTTGCTTCCCAGCACTGTCAAAAATACCTACTGATGTTCTTAGCACCAACCACATTAAAACTAACATTTTTAGGCCTTTTTAAGTTTCATAGGCAATATGTAATTCACTTGTAAGTTCTACTCTCTCATTTATGTGATTATTGCAAAAGAGTTCATCATCTCAACAAAGGCTCTAAAAAATTTCTAATACAATACTCCAGGCACTCTTATTAACACCAAGTTTGCTAGAGACTCCATCACTGGAGAAGTGTGAACAATTTTTTATGTCTGCTTTGGTCCTTGATGGCCATTTGTTGTCAACTGTCTTATGCCTAAGACACAGAACTCATGATGTCTGTCTTTACAGGAGCTATTTCTGGCTTCATGTTGGTGTCTCCTGAAAAGAGGTTTTCACAATCCTTAGCATGTAGCCCTCTCCTTACGGCCTGAGCTAGGTCTTAGTACCCTCAAGTCACTGTTTTTTGATACACGACTGAGCAAAGATGCTGTGGCCTGTGACTTATCAGACTTGCAGGTAAGAATGGAATACCCCTGTCCCCAGTTCTTTGTCAGATTCTGTGCTAGATGAAGTCACCCCTTTCGCAAATTAATTGTCTACCCCTTTAGTTTCAACCCAATGAAGAAAAATCAGAGTTGGGACATATTATGAACACACACATTCCCAGATGAGCTTGTCATCACCTAACCAGGATGACCATGAAAAATAAAATAAAAAAAAAAGACTAAGTGTAAGGATCAGAACAGTTAAATCTTATACTGCAGCTAACGCAGTAGGTGCCCTGAATGTAAATCAAGGCTGGATCAAGACACTCATTTTTGTCTTAGGAGTTCCAGAGATCAAGGAATTCATTTTCCTTTGCTTGAAAGTGCAATACTGGGCTCTAGAACAAAAAACAAGACTTTATTTTTTGTAATGTTAATAATGGAATGCAAGGCTTTAGGACACATGCTGGGTAAGAACACTCTACCCTGAGCTACATCCCTCAGCTATCGAAGTCATCTGAGGAAACATTCACTATCCTAACCGGCCTACAATACCAAATTTAATTAAGGAAGCATGCTTTTCAGATATTTAACTTACCAAGGAGAAAGTATAATAAAATCTTTTCCATGCTTGTTCACTGACAGCATTCAAACCTCATGTCTCTTCGACTTCACGGTTCTAAGAAAAAAAAAAATGACTTTCTGTCTCCCCCTTCTTTCAAAAGATAACCTGCACTATACCTAAAGTTTGGCTATGAGTTTCAGCTTCTGCTTCAATACCTCAATCAGTAGTCTTTCAGAGGCCATTTGTGGTAGGCTCCTGTCCTGTTCCTTGTCTTCTCCTGCTTCTGATGTCCATCGCATTTGTCCTTCTGAATGAGAATTGAGAATCTTCCCTTGGGTCTTCCTTGTTGTTTAGTTTCCTTAGGAGTGTAGATTTTAGTCCAAAAGGAGACCAATAGAGCCAAAAATCTGAGCCCTGGGGATCCTAAAGAGAATGATACCCCAACCATGGACAATGCATGGAGAGGACCTAAAATCCAGGCTCAGTGTCCAAGTGAGGTCTCAAGGGGAGCAGGGGCTTTCCCTGGCAAGAATTCAGTGTCAGGCTCTCTGATCAACTTCCCTTGGTGGCTGCAGCCTTGCCAGACCACAGAGGAAGACAATACAACCAGTCCTAATGAGTCCTGATAGGCTAGAGTCAAATAGAAGGGGAGGAGGACCTCCCCTATCAATGGACTAGGGGAGGGGCATAGGTATGTGAGAAGAGCCAGGGAGGGTGGGATTGGGAGGAGATGAGGGAGGGGGCCACAGCAGGGATACAAATTGAATAAATTGTAATAAATGTTAATAATAATAAAAACAGATGCTAGCAATTGTCACCAGAGACACACCTAGATCACTACCTGAGACAATGGATATAGAAATTAGATCAATAATATTAAAACAAAAGAAAAAAAGAGTGATCTTTTCTTTGGTGAACAACAGAGTTGCACACCATCCAAACTGCCAGCTCAGCATTGAAATCCTTATTCTTGTCTATATCACAAGACCAATAAAAACTCTAAGTATCTATTTTTCTTCTCTTAGAAATGTCAGGCCCGCTGTAAAGATTTCTGAGCCCCTATTCCACCCTGGATGTGATATCATCAGGTTTTTTGATTGGAAGCAAATTTTGTGTTGGAGTTCATTCTGTATCTTCAATGTGGCCACATCAGGTGACCTGTCTTTGTCATTGCAATTGATCCGAGTCTTAAACATCTAGTAACCATCCCAGGATAGAAGATGGAAAGCTGTAAGTGACTCCCCTGGAAGGCTGTCATGATCCATTTTCTCATCAGCTAAGTTTCTGAGGCGACCTCAGAGCTGCAGAAAGCAAAATCACTCTACTGTGGCTCCTCTGCAACAGAGTACTGTACAATCTATACTACAGCCATCACTTTTGGTCTTTGTATTTTAGGATACATAAAGACAGGAATCAAGAAAGTTGTAAATCCTGTAGCTCATTCTTTGTAGTGTTAATTTAAGTCCTAAACCAATTACATATGAAAGTGACTCCTGCATCCAATCAGTCAGGCCTTGGCATTGTGTCTATTTTGAGCTGTTGCTACATATTCTGATTGCTATATCACTTATTATAAATTAACCTAATATAACTAGCATGCTTGTATCTATTCAGCAGCTGTTAAGCTGACTAAATACTAAGTGTATTTAGTAAATACCATGTCCTTCAGTCATTTCTATCTGGGAAGTCTTCACTGAGTTAGCTTACCCAGCTGCGTGGAGCTAATTTTTTTTTATCTACTGAAAAATCACTAGGAAAGCTAAGAAGTTAGGAAAATATATTAGAAATGAAAAACCCCAAGAAAATAAAATCATGAATATATAAAGTAGTCTTCTGAATAAAGAGAAATGTGATCACAGACCATAGTGTCATATGGTGTCTCAGCTTTCTTATATTCTAGAAAGCAAATCCCTGTTACAGTTACAGTGGTTTTTTTTTTTTTTTTTGGATCGTTTGGAGCTTTATTTTTGACAAGTATTAGATGAAAAATTCATTTATATAATAAGCATTTTACAGGCACCATGAGAACCATGTTCCCTACTCTGGGAACAAGGGAGAACCCAGTTTGAGTCTCAGAGCCAGGAGACCTTACAGTTCAGTTGAATGAGGTTAATATGAGTGGGATAAGAACTGTGACACAACAGAGCAGTGGCAGACTGCGGATGGGGAATATGCAACTATGCTGTACTCAAAGAGTTACAGAAGAGTTTCTCAGAAGCAGTGATTTGTAAAGGTAAAGACTATAAATATCTTGTACATGTTACAGGTAGGAAAACTGGGGATAAGAGAGGCAAAGTGGCCTAACAGAAGCCATTACAATCTGTGGTCAAGTCAGCTTTGAGCCACAGCCTACTGGGCTCCAAAGTACTACTTTATCACTGGCACTACCTAAACTTCCCCACAGGTCTGCTTGCCTCCAAATTTTAAATCTCTTCAAATCAGGTGACCCAAATTGGAAAACGACTTCCAGGGCACTTTTTTTTTTTTTTTTTTTAGGTAGGCCATGATGCATTTTCACTGGGTACTGTTGTTACTGAAAGCATTAATTGCTTACATGAGAAAGGTCTCCCCTTTTCTTCCAGACAACAGTTTATTCAAGGCAATGCTTGCTCCTGGGATTAGAAACATTAAACTATCAGGACAAAAGCTGCAGCTTTGCATTTCTTTATACCTAGGGAGGAAAGTATCATCCTTGACAGGAGCCTAGAGCTCTGCTTGAACTGCCTTCCTTGCTTCTTAACCCACAAATGTCAGGACTCGCCCTAGTTGGACCTGTCTTCATTTCTACAGAGTCTGAAACACCACAGAACACAACGTCTATCTGCAGCCTGTGATCCCTGAAGTCAGGAATCCTAACTGCTTATCTTATTGTTTGGCCTGCCTTCAAATAAAATAGTAGACATAATGTGCAGCACACACATCTACAACTAATGGATTTTGTTCCCCCAAGAAACTATTAAAATTCCATAACGTGGGTTTTTATAGTGATCTCCTAGAGATCCAGCCCTTGATTTCACATTGGTATGATCTACAATGTAAATGGTATGGAAACCTTTCTTCAGCATAGTAGATCCAACCACCATAGTCAAATAGCTATAAATAATGATTTAACCGATAGGACAAAGTAAATATAAATAAATAAATAAATAAATAAATAAATAAATAAATAAGTAAATAAATAAATAAATAATAACTCCAAGCAGTGTACCAAGGGTGTAACTAGCCATTCCAGGGTATGTCTCCTTTTATTTCAGTGAATTTGACATCTTAGACCAGAAGCAGTATCTTGGAGGCAACATTTAAAAACCAATATCTATAAACTTTCCCTCCTCACTTTTTTTCTCTTTACATTATATACTAGACTCAATAAGAAGAATGCCAACATTTCCAATGGTTTTGACTAACCTTTTATTATGGAAAATGTCAAACATACAAAAGCAGAGATGAACATATATAATGAACATCATTTAATCATCAGTCAGCTTCAACAATCTTAAAGGCCAATCTTGTTTGAGTATGTCCAGTGTATTTATTATCTAGACGTATTTTGAAGCAAATCCCAGACATTATATCACTTCAACTATAAATATTTGAATGCAGATAAGAATTCTTGATTCCAATATAACAACCGTATTATAATAATCAATGTGAAAATATCCAGCTAATGTTCAACTATTCTGTCTGATACATTCACTCATCTTATACTTTGATCAAATCACGATCCCAAAAAGAGCCATACAATTACAAACACTCTCTGAAACCTTTCTCAGACCACAGGTTCAGCCTCTACCTTTTCCTTTTATCCTTGTGACTTACATAATGAAGAAACTGGATCATCTGTCCTGTGTTTTCTTGAAGTCAGGATTCTATGACTCTCATCTGTTTGATATACAGTAAACTGTTTCTCTGTCTCCTGTATTTTCTATAGAGGAGAAGTTATGTCTAGAGGCACAGTTAAATTTAGGTTCAAAAATTTGGCAAATGTAAGAGGTACATAATGTCTGGGATAACACAGACATATGAATAAGAATTTTTGCTACTATCTCACAGCTGCCTTGAAATAGTTGTGTGATACCTGATATACAAAAGCCACATATATGCTAGAGAGATTAGAAGAGGGATGTTTCACCATTCGTTATCATTACAAAATATTAAACAAATATTCAGTGATGCCTACCATACACCAAGTAATGTATGCTAGATATAAAAAGACTAAGAAAGCAAGTTCTTTGCATTCACAGTCATATCTGATGGGAAGTACAGACAAAAAGCACAAAAAGGCCACAGGTGCCAAATAGAATTCTGTACAGATACAGTGGTAGTGCAACAACCTGAAGAATAGCCATTGTTAACAGGAAAAGTGTCCAAAAGCATAGGATGAGCTGTGTTCTTGTGGATGTGAAAGAGCTCACCTGTGCTTCACAATTCCATTCATCATTGGATTCACATACTTGATTCTTTCAAAGTAAATCTGAACAACATTTATTCCATTCACCTAAAAAAAGATAATCTTATTAATAAGGTTTTACTGGTTTGTCCATTCCTGTATAGTCTAGACAACACATATTTACTGAGAATTTAGTATGGTTCATCAATCCTTTATATTGAAAAAGCCAGCAGTGAATTATCAAATGTAGTCCCACTGTAAGCACAGGTGAGAGCCTAAAGAAATAAATTCTCCCAGGTATGTTATGAAGCTTAAAAAAAGAAAATCAGTAATTCACTGATAGTAGAGATTTCTAATGTGTGAGACACAATGACAAAGGTCTCTGAATTTTAGCCAGTGTTTTGAGCCCCTGGAGTTATGCATGATTCAAGTTGGGTCCTAGTCCTCAAGGATTTCATATTTTATTAGGAAACAGTTAGGAACATAACTACAATAAGTGCTTCCACAAAAAGAAATCTAAGGGGGAGAAAAGTGTGGCTAGCTGTTAGTATTATATAGATTCTAAGCATTTTCACCTCCCTTCCCCAGCTACAGAGGGAGAGATTGTTCTTTTGAACTCCATTAAACTGGAAGTGAGGAAAGAAGTAGATGCAGGTGTAGAGCCTGTTAAACCATGTGTCCCAGAAGTGCTGCTGCTTATACTGCTGCTTTACAAGCTGCCTGTTCTTGTTCTTACACTCTTCAGGGTTTACTGGTGCTTCTAAATAAAGCTTTACAACAATTCTTTCAAATGAAACCATACGAAAGAATTATATGTAGCCACATTTCAGCCCTGGCTTCTTGCAAAAAAAAAAATCTGATTGACAAAACATAGGTTTCTAACATATCTTATGCCTGCTTCAAGCATATCAAAATAACTTTGACTTCAGCATGACTTCTCCAAGCTTTTAAGCATAGGCACTTGTCCAGTGGAGGGAAAATCAGCCCTTTAAGACAACATGCTGAAAGCAAATTTCTGTTTTCTTATGTAAAAGTCTTAATTATCTTTCAGCAGTGCACTGGATTTGGGGGGACTTGGATGTGCTAAAAAAATTAAGCTGTACATATTCACTGCACTCACACATAAAATGCATAGGCACTAAGTATCCACTCCAAAGAGATAATGCACACCTGTGCATCAAACTTTTGGAAAATATAAGATAGAGACATGATTTGGTTTATTCCTGTGTCAGCTGTTTTATCTGAATTTCCTGAAATTGTTAAAAATGCAAGATTATTTGGAGGTTTTCATTTGTTACTTTTCTAGAATGAACCTCGGAAAGGATATTTAACTGTCTATATAAATTTTACTTTAATGTGTGATAACTTTTTGTTTGCAGTATGGAAACAGAAAGCACTGGAAGGTTGGAAATTGCATAAACAATCTCTGTGGATCCCCCCCCCTAAAAAAATCTCAGCTATAAAATGAAACAACATAGGTTTATAGGATGAGACTAAAATTTAAAAGTCTCCTTAGATTAGTCAAACAGAATTCAAGGTCAAAATATAATACTGTGTGTTATTATCTCTAGAATACGACATAATAGTTAAACCTCCAACATATTTGTGGCATTTTTGGATAAAAGGTATTTCTATGTATACAGTACAGAAATAAAGCAACAGTCCAGTTTCTCCAGGACTGGAGTATACTCTAAAGACCAAAATTACTGAGAATATCTATTCATTGATTTAGAATACTGGATAATTTGTGAAGACTATATTCAGTAGTTCGGCCTTGTTTACAAAATGAAATTACATGCTTGCTTTAAAAAAGCTATCATTTTAGTAAGCAGGTTTCTACTCATTTCTTTGATAATATCACCTCTGTTGACTACACATATTTTACATAGATGGATTTACGTAACAGAGAACCAATGGGATAAAATTGATAATTGAATTATATGTGAACCAAGTTATTTTTGGAAGATAACCTATAGAATAAAATGCGTAAATTAGTGTCATCATCCATGTATACCTATTACAGTTCTGTAGAATACATTTAGAAGGTTGGTAGAAGGATACCCTCCAGTCATATCCACTGTGAAGGCTGTGAATGAGAAAACACGATAAAAGAAAAAAAGAATGTTCCCACCCCAGCCCCTCACCACTTTGTAAGACTCTAAAGGCTCCTCCACTAAGAAACCAGAAGCCTGACATCAAGAGCGCGCACGCACACTCACGCACCAACACATGTAAGGGCTGTTTAAAGAAAAAAGAAAAAAAAGAAAAAACCCAAACAAAAACATCACAGAGCAGACTGACAGGCAGGCACGCACGCACGGACACGGGATCACACACAGGCACACGCACACCCTCCAGGAAGAGCAGGGCAAGCAGTTAAGGCACCTTTCACGAAATCCCATGCAGCTCCCGCTGAGCGCAAGATTTTTACAGTGTCACCAAGAAGCGATTGGAAAAGCATCTGAAAAACGTGCAAAGTGTCTGCAAACAGCGCCTGGCAACCAAGACAGTTTGCAAGCGTGATTCAGAGGTCTGCCTGCCAAGGAAACAAAAGAAGCCTCCCTCCTGCCCTTGCAGGCGCACAGGGCAGGAGAGGTGCTCTCCTGGTAGGCAAGAGTCCTGGCGGGAGCCTCAGCGGGAGCAGGAGCTATACATACTAGGGCTCGCTCTCCGGCAGGGATGGGGTGGCTGAGTTCCCGTTGGTAGGGGAGCCGCCCAGCTTCAGTCTCTCCAGGTACTCGGCATGCACGGGCTTGTGGCACTGCAGGACCTTGATAGCATCCTCGATCTTGAACCACTCTCGCTTCCTGCCGATGCTGACCGAGTCTTCCCAATCCTCCAGCAGCTCGGTGACGGTGAGCACGAACACATAGGTCCGGTGCTTGCGATCCTGGTTCTGCTCAAAGACGCCCAAGAGGCGGCCCAACTTCCCCTTGACTCCTGCCTCCTCAAACACCTCGCGCACCGCCGCGCCGTCCGGCTCCTCCTCGGGCTCCATGCCCCCTCCCGGCACGATCCAGCGGTCGGGGTAGCGGCTGCTGCTCACCAGCAACACCTCCTCCTCGCGCTCGCTGCGGAAGCACAGGCACGCAGCGCGCTTCTTGAAGCCTTCAGGGTCGTAGGTCCGCGTCTGGTTAGGCTTGCACTTCATCCTTGGCCCTGCCTTGGAGATCACTTATAGCTGCCTAGCGAGCTAGACCGCCGCAGGAACTGCCGCGGGTAGGGAAAGGGCTGGTAAGGGCTGCAGCCAAGCGCAGCGGAGCCTGAGCCCAGCCGGGGTAGACTAGGCGGAGACAGGCGCGGGGGCGGAGGCGAGCCGGCGCGTCAGTCAGTCCGCGGGGCGGGCAGTGCTGGCTGGTCGCGCGGAGGGTCGCGAGCCCGCTGCCTGATTGGAGGCGTCGCTTCCGCCGCCTGGAGCTTGGAGCACAGAGCCTGCAGCCCTCGCCTCCGCACAGCCCACGAGTGGACCTCGTGCGGTCCCCGCCCTCCTGGCCGCCCGCGCTCACTCACGCTCCCTGGCTAGCTTGGCAGCACAGACAGGGGTTGAGCTAGGTGAATCCCATGCGAGCGCATAGACAGGCTCGCGTGAACGCGCGCGGGGGAGGTCGAGGGGCGGAGGGGCAGAGGGGAGGAGGCTGGGGTCTGCCTCTGGCCCACTGCGCAGGCGCTCTGCACTGCTGTGACTGGGAAGCTTCTAGCTCCCAATGCACTGGGGAAGTGCGCCCATTTGTGCAGGGTCATCACCACTTGTGTGTCTCAGCCAGACTTGGCAGCAGAAGTGCCCAGGGCCTCCTTGAGAAACAGTGGAGGGATCTAGGCCCCTGTCATAGACAGCCCCCATCATGGACTGCGTTGTCTTATTTATAGGCAGAAGTCCTGGTGTCGCCAGAATGACCAATGAGTCTTGCCAGAATAATCTTTGCTGAGTCACATGCAGCTCCCTGTCTTCAACAGGTTCTCTTCTGCAGCTGGTCAACCATAATTGCTCAGCCCTTGCCTTAAATACTTTGACACAACCCCTGTTCAAGATTTGCATAGTCTGTCTGTTACTCTGTTTCCTTCTCAGGGAAACCTGGGGAACTTGTTACAACCCTTGTTTCAAACCCATGGCCAGGTGTTTCTGGAGCAGAACCCCCTGAAGGCTTGGATTCCATGCCAACAGCCTCCATATTCACAGGCTGAACTCCATGCTGGCCTGCTCAATGGGAGAGTATCTAGGGAGTTGGGATTTTAGTTATTCTTGAAAATGAACGTGAGTCTTCCTGTGTGTGTGTGTACCTCTGAACAGGTGATTGTAGAATGTGTGTGTGCTCGAGTGTGCATGCCTGTGTGTCTACGTGGACCTCTGAACAGATGTAGCCCCGAGGTGGGCAAAAGCACCTTCTTCCACTGCTTCCATTGCTCTCCAACCATTATGACTTTTGAGAACAGTTTTCCACAATGTGGCTGTACTAGACTAGAAAGCACCAGGAATTCAGTCGCAGTTTCTAGAGTCTCCCTAACACTGGGATTGCAGCCTGACTTTTAAGTGTGGAGATCAGAACTAAGGTCCTCATTGCTTTACCCGGGGAGCCATTGCCCTGGACCAGAGGTTTTCACCTGGACATTAACAAAGTTCCCTGAACTTTGATCCCACTGACCTCTTGCTAGAGAAGCAGCACTCCTGAATCCAGGGTTAACACAAAACTTTGACCACATCTTTTCTTTTCTCTAAGGTTTCTCTCATTCCTTCCTTTGGCTTGTACACCTTTGAGGGGCTCGAGGGGCTCCTCCTCACACCTTAGGCAAACCTGTGCTGACTTGAAATCACCTCACCCTCACTAAAGTACAGTCTGCTGTGGTTTAGCTTGATGATGCTCATAGTTGTCTTTTGGTGGGGATGAGTTCACTTAGGGAAGGATTCTTGACTTCACTGAAAGGTCTTTTCCATTTTCCCTTATCCCCATGTCACCTGTTCTCTTTTTGAAAGCCTCTGAGTGCCTTCATGGTTCCCAACAATAATTCCTGTGGCTCCTTGCCATATGACTTCACAATTTGAAGGGCCAGTTGCCCTTGCAGGATAAAGTGGAGTAAAACAATACCCAAACGATGTCTGATTCTGTCATCAGCCTAGAACAGGATTTTGATTAATGCATGGTCTTTTTCCTCAGAAAAGCACAGAGCCCTTGCCTTTAATAGTTGCCATCCATGAAATGTAGCAAATCCCTTATGAAGCCCAACTCTTCCAAAGAGGCTTTTGGGACCTTGTCCACACCCCCACTTTGCACTGAGATTGGACCTCTGGCTTTGGATTTGAACCTTCCCTTTGGCATCTTTTCTATAGTAGCTCCAGGGAATGGTCCTGCTGCACTCCATCTGCATGAAGGTAGGAAGTGTAAAGCTTGGTGCTTGCTCTTTTTCATATGAGCCAACATGGTCTCTGAGATCTAGTGTCTACCAAGAACTCAAAACACATTGACTGAATGAACTAAGTTCCATGGATGCCAAAGGATCAATGTGATCTTTCCTCTTGAGTCTGTGAGTTGCCTAAATCAAACTTCCCTTAAATCTGAGGCAGCTCTCCACCTGTTTTGTTTTGTTTTGTTTTGCTTTGTTTTGTTTTTCACTAGAAAAGACAGGATTGTGCTCCTTTGACATCAACATCTATACTCCCTGCCCCTTTTCCCTGAGGGACAGCAGTAGCTTTATAGTGGCTCTCCAGTAGGTAATTCAGCAGATGTTCCCCCAGGGATGCAATTACTGGGAGACAAAAGACCCCAGCATCCTGATGTGGTTTTTGTTTGAATCACAGTGTGTTTTCAGAGACTCTTCTGTGTCTTTTGTGAATAATGCAATATCTTGCAGACTGGAAAACAGTTTGTAATAGTAGACAAACAGAAAAGAAAAGCCACTTTATTTCAGACAGCATAAACCTGAAGCTAATATTTAGAGACAGTACTTGTCTTGTATGCTGCAATTGGCATTGCATTCATCTTCATGTACACAATCTTTTTAAATCCCTTTGAAGAAGCAGCATCCTTTGCTTATATGAGGGGAGATAACATTAAGATTTGCAGCCTATGCAGCATGTTGGTGTCTAGCTGTTCTTAGATAGGTGCATGAGATCATATTGGGGGTTCACAGAATGGACTACCCAGGAAGCCTCCAGCTCAGCAAGTTCCCCCCAGCTTCCCCACCATCTCCTATCTCAGCCCTGTGCCCTGTTGTGGCTGTCCTAGCTCCTTAGGCTGTGCAGGAATTCTTGAGCTCAGCATCTCAGAATCTCCTTGTATTGGACACTCTTTGCCCCCATTGCCCCAAGCTTGCCAAAGTCTACACTGGTTCCCACTGTGTTACAAAACAGGGACAGTTCTCTGGAGTGTTAAACAGATGGACTGCAGTATAAGTACCTAGTGCTAACCAATTGGAGAGGACAGGAGCTCCACAAGGAGAGCAACAGAACCAAAAAATTTGAACACATGGATCTTTTCTGAGACTGATACTCCAAAAAAGGACCATTCATGGAGATAACCTAGAACCCCTGCACTGATGTAACCCATGGCAGCTCAGTGTCTAAAGTGGGTCCCATAGTAATGGGAACAAGGACTGTCTCTGACAGGAACTGATTGGCCTGCTTTTTGATCACCTCCCCCTGATGGGGGAGCAACCTTACCAGGGCACAGAGGAAGACAATGCAGCCTGTCCTGATGAAACCTAACCAGGTAGAGTGAGAAGTAAGGGGAGGAAGTCCTCCCCTATCAGTGGACTTGGGGAGTGGCATGCATAGAGAAGGAAGAGGTGGGTGGCATAGGGAGGGGAGGAGGGAGGCATCTACAAGGGGGATACAAATTGAATAAAGTGTAATTAATAAAAATAATTAATATTTTAAAAAGATGGAATGCTTGCTCTATCCATGCCTGTCTTGAGCAAGAAGGTAGATAATCATAGTTAGTCTCACAAAAGCTATATTTTATTATGCTGAGGGTCATTCCACAAGGTTCACTCTCTATATTCCTAATATGATACTAAGCCTATCTCCCCAAAGCTGCTCATCAGTGTAGTGTATCTTAGCTGAAGGACAGGTCCAGTCTCTAACAGAAGTCTCTGATTTGACAGTCAGTATCCTGGGAGAAATTCTCCAGCAATGGGACAGATCAAAGTGGCATTTATCTGGCTGTGCAAAGCAGAGCATTGTTTCTAGTCTCTGCTGATATACTTGCAGTGGGCATCATTGAGTTCTAGGACTGTGTTTGGTTATCTTTAGTAAGTGATGTCACTGGGTTCTGGTTGCCAGGTCCAGCCTTGGGTATATTGGGGTTCCTGACTAAGCTATTTTTCCATGTCAAAGGGACTTTTTTTTTTTTAACTATGCTCATCAAAATGTTCTACCTGCATTTTAAGAGCACAGGCCTTTTGTCACAGAATTGGTGTCTGTGTCTGATATAAGGTCAACAAAGTACCTTCTCTTCCCCAAAGCCCAAAATACCTCTAGCAGAATATAGTCTATTTATCCATTAGCTTGCTACCCCTAGTCTCACTTACAGTGAACCCTCCAGCACCCTTGGTGGCCACCCAGATTGTGGTGGTCAACAGCTGTTTCAAAAAGGTGCATGTTCATATGATGAACATAAGGATAGACTAGATAATGTCTGAGGTTAAAACAGATGCTGAAATAGTAGCTCTCCTGGTTCCTCAGAAATGTTTCATGTGGCACCCACCACAGTAGCCTGCTCTGGAGAGCTCTGCCTTATGTTCAGATGGGTAGTGAGCTCTGAACCAGCATTGTCTTCTGGAAATTTGAGACTAGATGGACAAAGGCACTTACTGTCTTGTTCTAACTTTCAGACTATTAAAACCTTTGAAAAGACATCACAGCCTTTATTCTCAGTTTTCTAAAATAACAGGGAGAGAAATCATAAACCTTTCTATACTTCCACTAGAAGGATTTTTTTGATGGCTCACATTCCAGAAGGACACAATGATTTCTGAACTTCAAGAAACATTCTATTCTTTACAAGACCATAAGTCCTCATAAAACTATCTTTGTTTCATTTCCTCATTTTAATTTCTTTAACTTTGTGATTTCAGGGATGGGTGCATATGCTCTAGGTTATGAGGGGAAGTCAGATGATAACTTTTGGATAGGTCACAGTGATCAAACTCAGGTCATCAGGCTTGGTGATCTTTACCTACTGATCCAGCTCACCAGCCCTTTTTCCTTTTAATTGTGCTGTCAGATGCTCCACAGTTCTTTATTTAAGGACTGACCATAGGTCAGATGTTTTTCATATTTCACTGGCAACTGTCATAGAATACCAGTGATCTCCATTTCATTTTCCTAGATTATTAAATGAAAGCTGGGGAGGTTAGAGAGCCTATCCTTCTTACCACAGAGCTTGAAGTCCCAGGGCTGGAACTAAAATGAGGGCTCTCAAAATCCACTATGTATACTTTTCATCAAATCCTTAAATTCCTTTCTTCTTTGTTTT